TCTCTCTTTAATCTTATAACTAGGGTGGAAAGCTAACAGCACAGTGTGTCGTGGTCAGTGTGTCAACCACAAAACAGGTCCAGTGCTGAGGAAGCGCAGCCGTTCAATGCATCTCCCCCATGATTGTTAGTGGGATCACTCAGGTCCAGAGTACCTCTTTTCACATCCCCGTGCCTCTGGTTCTGAACTCCCTGACTGCATTGTAGAGTAAGGTTTGTGTACATTGGCAAAGAGGGTTTCTTTCTGGAGTGGAGAGCAAGTTTTAGGAGGCAGTATCATCCCTAGCTTTTTATTTATTTATTTATTCATTGGCATTGGGCGTTGGACCAGGGGCTTGCATATGCTAGGTAAGCATTTCACCGCTGAGCTGTATCCCCAGCCTTTATTACTTCTTTTTTTTACAAATTTTTATTTTATTTTATTTTATTGTACTCGGATCAAACTCAGGTCCTTGTGCTTGTGAAGCAGGTAGTGGAACCACTGAGCTAAATCCCCAGCCCCTTCACAAATATTTTTAATTAATTTTATTGGTACATTTTAGATATACACTATAATGACATTCATCATTTGGAATTTGCACCCTTATGTAATTTATCTTGGTTCTTAATTTTTCCCCATTCCCCTGCCCTCCCTTCAACCCCTCCCTCCTCCCTATTTACAAAGACATTGTTTCCACTTTTTTCATTTTCTCATATTAATTCCATTCCCTTTTTTCTTTCCCCTACCCCTTCGCCCATTTTCTTCCTATACCACATTATCTAGTATACCTTTTAGTCTTATTTCTTATTTTGAGATAAGGTCTCACTAAGTTGCCCAGGCTGGGTTTGAACTTTTGATTCTCCTGCCTTAGCTTCCTGAGTAGCTGAGATTACAAACACTGCCTACCACTGAGCCCACCACTGTGCCCATTCATTCCCAGTACTTGACCCCCCAAACCCCTGCCAGCCACCAACCTGGTACTGGGATTGGATTTAGGGCCTTGCACTTGTGAGGCAAGAGTAGTGCCACTGAGCTATATCCCTGGCCCTATTCCTAGTACTTCTGAAATGGGGATCATACAAGTCCGCTGCTCAGGTGAGTTTAAATATTCCTATAGTATCACTATTGCTCCTAAAAAGTACTTTTTGTGAATTTGTGAAAGTACAGTTAAAGGCCCAGTTTTTGTTTGATGTGCTACTATGACCATATTAGCAAACGGACAACCCATAAGCGCGTAGGACTTGCCATGCCCCTCCCTGCCCTCCCACTCAGAGACCTCACTCTGGGAAGTATGGAAAGTGATGACAATTTATAGGTTTCTCTTTATGGTCAAGTTCACCCACAAGGGGCTCATTCTCCCCCACTCTAATATTTGGGACACAGAATTCCTTTTTTGAATTGGTTCAGTAAATATGGGAAAATTTCAATCCTCATACAAGCTACATTGCAGGAGCAGTGGTATTTATCTTACAAGTGAGTTGGTTTGTGTTTTGTTTGGGAAGATAAGAGGGGAGAAGGTAATTTCCAGAGAGTGGGGGAGGCTGGAGAGGTTGCTCAGGGATCCTAGGTTTGGAGCCTTTCTTGGCTCAGTCTGCTTTTAGTGTCTCTTAGAAGGGGTTATGGAGTGAGAATTGGCCGGGGGAGCGCACAAGACCCCAAGCTGTGAGATTTCCAAGGAGGAGGGAGTGGACCAAGGTCTCCGGCTCCCAGAGCAGACATCTGCTCACCCAGCATGAGAGGCAGCAGTGGTGCCCATGGAATCTGCATTGTTACCTTCATTTTGCATGATTAGTAGCAAACACAGCAGCCAGAATTCACTGAGCTCCAGAACAGATGGTGCCTGGGTAACAGGATGTCCCTTTGTCTTTGTTTATTCAAGAATGAACCGTGTCTTTGAAAACGCTAAAGTCATAACACAGGATCCTAATTGGATCTCTCTATCTTTAGGAAGGAGAACAATTGCTTTAAGCCAGTGTTTTTCAAACTGTGGTTGTGACCCATTAAAGTTGGGACCTGATTTAACTGACCAGTACTTTTTAGTGGCATGTAACAGAAAGACCAAAGCACAACTAGAGTTCTGTGAATTTTTTTCTTTCAGGGGTGTGTATGTCTAAGGGATATGCACATGCTGGTTTGTAATGGAAAATGTAGTTCTTTCATGGAGCAAGGTCTGAAAAGTAGAAAAGATGCACTTAAGGCAGCTTTAGAAGGGAAAGGAGAATTGGTTATATGTGGTTACCACTATGAGCACACTGCCTGGTTTTATTTATGGGTGACACATGTGCACATGTTAGAGAGAGAGAGCGCTAATTCCACCGTGATATACTAGGCACCAGTGCAGTGCATCCTAAGAATAAGAAGTCTTAAGATTCAGAGGTTCCCTTAAGGAATTGTTACTGTATAAGATAATTTAGAAAATCTGAATAGTGAATTCTATAGCCCCACATTAAGACAAAGACATGGAGGTACAGCCTGTTGACCTAAAATATAAATAAACCCGTATTCCTTTTTCACAATATCTTTGCCTAAACAGAAGTCAGTCAACCCAACAATAGTGGCAGAATCTCACGTGGTTCTTATTATAAAAACAAAGTTTCGAGCAAGTTTTTCGTGGTGCCTGGTTTCTGAGAGGATGAATTTCTCGAATCTGTCTCCCTACGAGAAACCTAGAAAATCAGCAATATTGCCTTATGTCCCCAACAAAATGACAAACGTTTTTGTGTGAGATTTTCCTGTCAGCCTTTAAAGCATCATTTCTGCTCACACAGTGAGTATAGAAAACGGAGGGCCCATGTCTCAGGGTACTGGGGAAGGGACTCCATTGAAAGATGTGGCATCTGATGTTCGGAAACTCAGAAACAGACATGCCAGCTCTTACTGGACATTTATTAGTATCTGTGAGGTGCAGACTATGTGAGAGAGGGCAATGGAGGAAGCGGAGGAGGGGCGGGAGCAGACGACAGGAGTGGCCTTCACCAGAGGCCCAGCTCGTTAGGCAGGCTGTTCTGCAAGGCGGAGGATACAGGTTCTGTTGCCTCCGACACAAAAGGAGGACTTCATCTTCAGCGACAGCTGAGCCGCCAGTTTTTCTGTATGTCCACAGCGCCGGACGGCCATCTCCAGTGCCCCTGCGCCGCCGACCCTCGAAGGTCCTGATGCTCCAGGCGCTTCACACAGAGTGGCAGCCACTCCATGACGTGGCCTGGAAGTGAGTCCCCAGGAGAGGCACAAGCCAAGTCAGCGGCTGCAGGACTTACAGAAGACACAGTGAGACAGGGATGTCCCTGCGTTTAAAGTCTGCATAGTCACACCGGCCCAAGGAAGCTGTCTTCTGCTCCTTTCTTACAAGATCTGCTGGGCTGTCTTCCTGATTTGCAAGCAGTCCCTCTGGGGGATGCAGATCTAAAGTTGCAAAGGTTGGGTTGACTTTGCTGTGTCTTCTGCCATCGTGTTAGGGGTTCATCTTACGTTGGGGGTTGCTGAATTTCCAAGTCCTGAATGGCTGGGACCTGCTACTTACTTAGCAGTAACTGGCTTGACACAAAGAAAGGAATCTACAGCATCTTTGCGTAATGCCCTTGGGAGGACAGAGCAGCAGTCTAGACAGACGTGGCCCCCTGGGACGCTGTACCCCGTAATGTGCCTGTCAAACAGGGGGCACATAATTCACGGAGCGAATGTGTGAGCGATGACTGGGCTGAGACTGTCCCGCCACCACCTACTGCTGTACCGCGGGCCTCTGAAATCAGACCGCCTCCTCCTCTGTTAGCGATGCTACTTAATTTTTCTTGGCCAACATTACACTTAAGTTTGATTCACACAATAAAAATTATGGACCATTGTAAATATCTTGTATTTCCTTTTGGAGTACTTTTAAGTAGCCAAATATTCTCACTAAAGTGATGTTAAGCCAAATTGCATTATCTCCAACTTGCCTGCAAAGATTTACTCAAAATAAAAGAGAATCATCTTATCCAAGTTACAGAAACAAAAAGTCACAAAACCATTTTGCCGTACAAAGGCTGAATGCCGTTCTTAACCATACTGCCAACTTGCTTCAGTTCCTCAGTTGCACCATGACTTTGAACTTTCAAATTGTTTTTCTTCCACCCTAAATATGACAGTTCAGTGGATAAGGAATTATTTTTCAGTTAATGACGGCTGCAATTCCCTGTAAAACATGAGCTAACACTCAGCAGTGTTATCCACAATGATAAATTCATTGCTTAAGGGAGCCCGCTTTCGAAAGAAAATTCATAAACAGCACAGTGGAAGACAAAGGGAAATCTCACGAGTAAATGAGTTTGTAAGTATGAACCGAGTAGCTTGTACATCGTATCCTATTAGCCTCGTTCTCAGTGGCTGAAGGCTAATGAGCTCAACTGCTTTAAAGCTATATATTTTTTAATGTGATTAAAACATACAGTCTCGCCATAAATTTGAACGGCTTATTAAAGGCCTCTCCATACATCAGTATATCACATGTCAGAGATGAATAGTGTTTCTACTTTGCTAGCTGCTTGGGTCAAGTTTGCTTGAAATGGGAAGCATATTTATACACGTAATGGTGACAGAAATGGCCTCTTGGGAAAAGCTGTTTGTGAGGATTTAACTTTTTTTTTTTTTTTGAAGTGTGTTTTCTCAATGGGCGTTTTATAGGCACTGGGCCAAAGTGCCTTACCACCACACTGCTTGAGACAGACTTGAGGACTGGGGATGCTGCCCCAGGCAAAGGGAGACACCTAGGGTGTGTGTGTGTGTGTGTGTGTG